TCTGCTTACCTACGTGTCTCTTGGCTGCTGGAGGACCTACCTCAATCTTTTTCAAGCTTGGTCCTTTCGAAATCGGTTTGCCTTCCTCCTTCTGTGGGGAGCGTGGCTTCTTCTGTACACCTGATGGCTCTGAAGAGGCTGACTCAGGGTGAAAAAGATCATCGATGTTTCCACGAAAGGGCTTTGCTCGATCAAGGTCACTTCTGACGACATCACCTGGGATCACGTAGTCCTCCTTGATCTTGTACATGGTCTTGCCCTTCCAGAACTCTTCACTCTGTTGCGAAAACCTCTTCCTATCTGTGCGCCAGTTGTCCTTGTGAAGAACCTTCTTCTTGCTCTTCTGGTACTCGATGTGTGTCTCTCTCTCATCAATAAGTTGATCTTTTGGAATTGGAGTTTCTTCTGATCGATTCATCTCATGTAGATTCCTTCTCTTGTCCTTGTGGTGCCTGATGAGTTCACGACGTAGTGGATCAACTTGCCAGTAGTCACCAGGCACCAAAGCTTCTTCTTCATGAACATTTTGTTTGACAGCAACCTGGCTGTACTCAAAGTGATCGTGTTGTGAAAAGAAACTCTTGACTTGAGGAGTCTTGAAATGAACTTGGCTCATGTATCATGCTACATCTTGTAGGTCGAGAATGAGAAGAGTACTGATGGCTGTCTTCAAAACCTTTTTTCTCATGCCAATACGTGCACAGGACAAATAAGCCTTCTCTGGAGTAAGCTCAAATTGAAATCCAAGGTTTCTCATCTGTGGAAGTGACACCATCATTGGGACATCACCTTCTTCGACAATGTCGAATTCTGTGAACTGAGTGTTCCATCCATGATCATACATGAATATCACGAGCTTCTCAGTACATTTGGGTTGTTGAGAATTTGCAAGGAAGAATCTTGAACTTGTTGGCTGAATTTCATACCAGAGTCCACTGTTGGGATGTGAGTCAATATATCTGCAAAATACTTCAACTGCTCGTCGAGAGCCCATAGCTCTTGTGCATCCAAGATCCAGGATACATACAGTTCTTGGTGCAGAATTCTCTGTGTGAAAAGTTAGTCCTTTCTCACATGCCAGATCAGTCTGTACAGTATGAAATGAAAAAGCACTCTGCTGCTCACCTGATTCCTTTGTCTCAGCAAAGCATTCAGAATGAGATGGTACCTCTAACTCTGTAGAGCATCCATATGAAAACCATGATGTGCCTTTTGCCAACGGCTTCCATGAAGCCTCACCTTCTTGTAGACCAACTTGCCTGGGCACACGAGCTGGACGTCGTTGTACACCTTGTCGAAGTGCAACAAGATCTCCAACCGGAACAGGGAACTTCTTGAGTCCTTCTCTGTTTTGCTGTGCTGTTGCATCACGTTGGTTCTGTCCTCCACGACGAGTGCGTCGATGTACTTCTTGTTCTGCATACGTGGATGCCAGGGCATCAACACGTGCTGGTTCAGTCTCTGCAAAAGCAAAGAAACCATGACCAGAGCTTGATGCAGCAGAAGAATAATGAGCTTGTTGTTGGTGTTGATTCTGTATGGCAGGAGTTGATGTGGTCTGAGGTTGAACATAATAGTTTGACTTGCCTTTTCCATCTCCTGGCTTTCCTCCTTTGCCATCATCATCCTTGCCTTTCTTGCCTTTCTTTCCTTTTCCTTTTCCTATCTTCTGGAAGTATCCATACTCATCCATGTAGTACAGATCATCATAGGCCCAATAGCCTTCATTCCAGTTTTGATCATCGGCCAATAGCCTTCATAGGATTCATTCCATTCTTCTCCTTCTTGCTATTCTTCTTCATAACCTTCTTCACTAGAGCGGCCTTTCCTTCTTCCTTTTCCTCGGCCTTTTCCTTTCCTTGATCTGAAGAACCTTCGTCCTCCTCTGCCTTTTCCTTTTCCTTTTCTCTTTCCTTTACCTTTGCCTCGTCTGGTCTGTCTGCCTTGGAACCTTCTCTGATACCATGTGTAGTCAGCGTCATCATAAACCCAGAAAACATCTTCTAAAGCATCCAGGAATCCTTCTGCGCCGTCTTCTTCATCTTCGGCCCAATAGCCGTCGGTTCCTTCTAGTTCACCTTCATCCAGTACGAGGAAAGATCTTCTCTGTGCCATGCCAGAGGGTTGCATCATTGGATTGTCAACTGCTGTTTTGGTAGCGCAAAACATTTCCAAAAACAGATCACGTAGTTCTTGAATGTTGTATTGATCGAGGGTTCGTCCACGATGTGTCATCATACTTGTGAGTGTGTTTCTCTGATCCTGTGTCAGGTCTGCTAGACTTACAAAAATCAATGCTACCAAATTTTCACCCAATGGGAATGCCTGGCTTTGTAGTTGTCTACAATGTTCCTTGTGCTGACTGAATGCCACCAATGCCAGTTCATCTGACCAGGGAATGACTACGTGAGGAGCTGCACCTGGTGTTGCTGCTGCCAACTCAGCCTTCTCTACCTGATCTCGTTCATGTTCTTGTCGCTTCTGTTGAACAAATTGGATTGCTTCAGGATTTGTCACTGATGGTTCTGGAAGTAAATCCATCCAAGACTCAATAAGTCTATTTCCAGTCAGTTGAAATCTAGTCATCCACTTCTGAAGATCCATAGTTCCTCTGTTGTACTTCATGAACTGCATGAAACGGTATAAGAACACGTTCTGGGCACCCTTGATGAAATGAGGTCGTAGAAATCTTTTGAAATAGTTCACTCCTTCATTGGGATCCCTGAGCATATCTCTGTCCAATAGCCTCTTGTATTGTAGAGCATCTCCTTCCAGTCGATTTCGCAAGGCTGGTCCACGTTTCTCAGGGTCTAACTCCGTGATATCACACCAGTCATAAATTGCATCTTCAAAAGCAAGGAAACTAGTTTTTCCATCATATGCTGGAGCTACCTTCGTGGTCATTTGTTGCGTCATATGAATTTGTGTTTGTTGGGGAGCTCTTCTCATTGCGTAAGAGTCATATTGGTTCCATCCATCTGCATCGACAATGTCGAAGTCATCATCATCATAGCCATGGCGTGCCATTGCTGGGCTCTACCTGGAGCTCACCTTCAATGAAGGATCACTGCTCCGCTACCACTTGAAGAGGGGCCCTAGCGTCTACTTCAAGATCAGCTAAGGCGTCTTCCCAAGACAGCTCACACTTTTACTCTCAGCGTATTGCCGGTCAGTGCGGTGTCCACAGGGTTACTCTATATACCTCTTGAGCCTTGAGGGCGCATATAGACGTGCTCAATACTCATGCATGTACCTCTGTAGGTATTAGGTCATTAGGTCAAGAGAAAAACAGGGGGGGTGGAGAGACAGATGACGGGACCATATATGCTATATATATATATGTATAATATATATATATATATATATGGGGGTTGTTTATTTTATTCCTTTAAGATTGTTTCCATTTAGGAGTTCTTGCGCCTCTCCCTTGCGCGCTCTTGCGCGGCCTGCGTTTCAGTCACCTTTAAGGTTTTGGAAGGGTTTTTTATGAGCATGGTTCCAATTGAAAAATTGACCTGGAATCAGTTCTGCAAGAACAGAATGTGGAGTCTGAGATGGTGAGCGGGGAGGTGTTTCGAAGTGGTCCAGTAATGGAACCAAATCACACAATCTACAAATTTCTCCTGCAATTCCAAAGCGATGACGCTGTACCCGAAGGGGCATAGAGTCTGAGATGGTGAGCAGTTAACGGCAGTTTAAGCCGGTTTCAGACCCTTTGGGGCTCACGGGGCTTTGCCTTGTTTCCGGAAAAGAGGCTGAGCTTAAACACGGCCATTCAACACATTTTTCCTGCAACTAAAAAGCAAAAGCAATGATGCTGTAACCGAAGGAGCATAGAGTCTGAGATGGTGAGCCGGAAGGTGTTTCAGAGTGATTTCAGACCGGTTTCAGACCCTTTTGGGGGCGCTTACGGGGCTTTGCCCTTTTCCCGGAAAAGAGGCTGAACTTAAACACGGCCATTGCCCTTCGAAATGGTCCGGCAATACCACCAAAACATACAAAATCTAAAGCAATGATGCTGCATCCGAAGGAGCATAGAGTCTGAGATGGTGAGCCGGAAGGTGTTTCAGAGTGATTTCAGACCGGTTTCAGACCCTTTTGGGGGCACTCACGGGGCTTTGCCCTTTTCCCGGAAGAGAGGCTGAACTTAAACACGGCCATTGCCCTTCGAAATGGTCCGGCAATAAAACCAAAACATAAAATCAACACATCATTCCTGGAACTAAAAAGCAAAATAAAGCAATGATGTTGTATCCGAAGGAGCATAGAGTCAGAGTGGTTTCAGACCGGTTTCAGACCCTTTTGGGGGGGCGCTCACGGGCTGTGCCCTCTTTCCGGAAAAGAAGCTGAACTTAAACACGCCCGTTTTGGAAATCAAAAGCTCCAAGGTGAATTAGGAGAACGTAAGCTCATTTCCCCAAAGGAAAGTGTGCTAAAATAGAGGTGTCGACTGCCCTCTTCCAATATTTGTTTTAGTACGTGATTTCCAAAATGGCCGTTTTGGAAATCAAAAGCCCCAAGGTGAAGAGAACGTAAGCTTATTCCCCCTAAGGAAAGTGTGATAAAATACGGGCGTCGACTGCAAAACCTCCCACATACACACACACATGAGCAATGTGTCTGAGATGGTGTGTAGGAAGATACCCCGTGTTTCTGGAAACTGCAGGAGGAGGAGAGTCGTTTAGATTTTGTTCTATGTCCTCGTGCCCAGCCAATTCCTGGCGTACATAAACATACATGCAATATATTTTAAGATATAATATGTAGGAAAAAAGAACGAAATTTGCATGTATATAAAATATCCTTGCGCTCTCCCTTGCGCGCTCTTGCGCGGCCTGCGTTTCGAGCCATATGGCTGCCAGGTTACAAAATCCTAAAATCAATTTTCCTTTGACGAATACTACGGGGTTAAAAAACAACTCTCATATATATATATGTATATATATATATATATATATGTATGTATATATATTTATATATTAACTTATTATAAATTGATATTAAAGATAATCCCCCAAAAATGGCTTCACTAAAAAAAAGTCGACGTTTAAACATTTTTGGTCGCCAGGCTTCTGATATTGGACGCAAGCCCAAAGAAGGTTGCTCACCTCGTAGACTTCACAAGCTCTCGCACTCTTAGCCACCACCGCAATCAATGCGGAGAACAAAGGTCCCGAAAAGACCTTCAACATCGCACAGGACCTCGTCAAGAACTTACTGGTGCTTCGTAGGGAATGGATGGGAATGGGGGTTGCTGGGATGATTATTACTAGTGATTATGGATCATTCCCTCATTCCCTGCTAAGCACCAGTAGGACAATGTCAAGGTAGAAAGGATACCCTTTTTTTGCGATGGCAAACTTGGGACACCTAAGTTTTGGTAGATGTAACTTCAATCATGTCCGGTAAAAAAAGCCGGTTTAACGGTTTGGTCCATCATCAAACAAACCTGTTAAAGGGGTAAACGTTCAAACCCCTCTTTTTTCATCAGCCGATGGGACAAGGACATCGCACAGGACCTCGTGATCGGCATGGACCGAGTTTTGCCACGCAATTGACCAACTCGCGAAACATTGTTTATGGAAACTAATATGGAAAAGTCTGGGCATCTCTAGCCTGAGAAATCCAGGACCCAAGGTCAATGAGATTCAAACAGGAAATCTTTCACGGAGTGTCTGATACGGAAAGAAATCTAGCTCTATGTCTTCATCCTCCATATGCCATGGCGATGAAGAGGTGACACCACGTCAAATGGCTGGTGAAAAATAAAGCCCAGCCCGAAAAAAAAAAGCAAAGATTTTAGTCTATATGAACATGTATTAAACAAATTAAACGTATATTATACACATTTATACACTATTAAACACCTTTTTTTCCGCATGGACTTTTATTGGCTCATGGCTTGTTGAAAACCACCAATTCTCCACATCAGCGAATCCCATCTGTGTCTCAGGTACCAGGCGATAATGGTGCAACAATTGGCCGGCAGCGTTCCATCGTGCATCTGCAACTCGTCATGTGCCTTTCTTTCTGCCAGCTCCACCATGCTCATCAGTACCTTCACCTAAAGAAACACCGAAAACCCCAAACAAATGGAAAAATGGGAAAAACCTCAGAGTAAATGATAGTTACTATAGAGTATAATGTTGGATGGACAATAGTAAAGCGCGTGCAATAGCTACAAATAATTTTCAGAATCTGATTTTTCAGCCCCTATTGATTTTAAATTAGGCCTTATTGATTTTAAATTACAGACATCAATCTTGGTCCAGAGCATCTGCAATAGTTGTGCTGCATTTGCAATAACTACAAATAATTTTCAAAAAAATCCAAAATTATCAGATTTTCCAATACTAAATTGTAAAAGGGCTAATTGAGATTTAGTATGGATGCAGGAAAAAGCTCAGAACCAGTAATTAATGACCTGCCATGAGCAGATGCACTGCTTCTTTTAGACCCCAGAGGTGTCAGCATGGAATGTGTGTCAGAAAGGTGAAACAGAATGGTGCACCAGAGAGCTGCAAAGGTGAAACAGATTAATTAGTGCACCAGAGAGCTGCACCAGAGCGCTGGCACCAGAGAGCTGCACCAGAGGCCACCACCAGAAGGCTGCACCAGAAGGCTGCACCAGAATTCTCCTGAAAAAATGAAATGTCCTTAATGTATTTTTTCTGGCTCTAGCTGTATTTTTCCATAGAAAAATCATAAAAAAAACCATAGAGATCCCATAGAAATCTGATAGAAATCCCATAGACACCCCTTTGAAATCCCAGAGAAATTTTAAAGAACCACCATGGAAATCCCATAGAACTTACACAGGAACCCACTAGAAACCCCATAGAAATGCCATAGAAATACCATGGAAATCTCACAGGAACCCAATAGAAATCCCATAGAAATATCATAGAACCACCATTGAAATCCCAAAGAAACTTCATGGATTCCATTAGAATTCCCAAAGAAATCCTTTAGAAATATCATAGAAATCTTGATTAAACCCCATAGTCATCTAATAGAAATATCATACCTTCTTCCTTAGTGTTTCTAATTGTGGTTGAATGGTTTTTAATTGTGATTGCATGTTTTTTCAAAAGCAAAAACAAAGCAAACCTTTACCAAATCAAACACTTTACCTTGTTCAAAACACCAGAATTCTCCTGAAAAAGCAAACAATTCCTTAATGTATTTTTTCTGGCTCTAGCTGTATTTTTTTATAGAAAAATCAAAGAAAAACCATAGAGATCACATAGAAATCTGATAGAAATCCAATGGGAATCCCATAGACACCCTTTTGAAATCCCAGAGAAATTCCAAAGAACCACCATAGAACTTACACAGGAATCCACTAGAAATCCCATAGAAATACCATAGAAATACCATGGAAATCTCACAGGAACCCAATAGAAATCCCATAGAAATATCATAGAACCACCATTGAAATCCCAAAGAAACTTCATGGATTCCATTAGAATTCCCAAAGAAATCCTTTAGAAATATCATAGAAATCTTGATTAAACCCCATAGTAATCCCATAGAAATATCATACATTCTTCCTTACTGTTTGTAATTGTGGTTGAATGGTTTTTTAATTGTGATTGCATGTTTTTTCAAAAGCAAAAACAAAGCAAACCTTTACCAAATCAAACACTTTACCTTGTTCAAAAAAGCTGTTTTCTTTATCAAAATCAGTTTTAAAAAAATGCAAAAAACAGGTCCACAAAGGGTACCCCCTTGCAGGTCCTTGCATTTGCAATTAAAAACTGGAATTAGCACTTGCAATAAGAAACAACCTTCCTGGCTCTAGCAGGCTTTTTTTCTCCTTCTTCCTTAGTGTTTGTAATTGTGGTTGAATGGTTTTTAATTGTGATTGCATGTTTTTCAAAAGAAAAAACAAAGCAAACCTTTACCAATCAAAAACTTTACCTTGTTCAAAAAAGCTGTTTTCTTTATTAAAATGCTTTTAAAAAATTGCAAAAAACAGGTCCACAAAGGGTACCCCCTTGCAGGTCCTTGCATTTGCAATTAAAAACTGGAATTAGCACTTGCAATAAGAAACAACCTTCCTGGCTCTAGCAGGCGTTTTTTCGCTTCTTCCTTACTGTTTGTAATTGTGGTTGAATGGTTTTTAATTGTGATTGCATGTTTTTCAAAAGAAAAAACAAAGCAAACCTTTACCAAATCAAAAACTTTACCTTGTTCAAAAAAGCTGTTTTCTTTATTAAAATGCTTTTAAAAAATTGCAAAAAACAGGTCCACAAAGGGTACCCCCTTGCAGGTCCCTGCATTTGCAATTAAAAACTGGAATTAGCACTTGCAATAAGAAACAACCTTCCTGGCTCTAGCAGGTATTTTTTTCCCTTCTTCCTTAGTGTTTTTAATTGTGGTTGAATGGTTTTTAATTGTGATTGCATGTTTTTCAAAAGCAAAAACAAAGCAAACCTTTACCAAATCAAAAACTTTACCTTGTTCAAAAAAGCTGTTTTCTTTATTAAAATGCTTTTAAAAAATTACAAAAAACAGGTCCACAAAGGGTACCCCCTTGCAGGTCCTTGCATTTGCAATTAAAAACTGGAATTAGCACTTGCAATAAGAAACAACCTTCCTGGCTCTAGCAGGCTTTTTTTTTCCCTTCTTCCTTACTGTTTGTAATTGTGGTTGAATGGTTTTTAATTGTGATTGCATGTTTTTCAAAAGAAAAAACAAAGCAAACCTTTACCAAATAAAAAACTTTACCTTGTTCAAAAAAGCTGTTTTCTTTATTAAAATGCTTTTAAAAAATTGCAAAAAACAGGTCCACAAAGGGTACCCCCTTGCAGGTCCCTGCATTTGCAATTAAAAACTGGAATTAGCACTTGCAATAAGAAACAACCTTCCTGGCTCTAGCAGGCTTTTTTTCTCCTTCTTCCTTAGTGTTTGTAATTGTGGCTGAATGGTTTTTAATTGTGATTGCATGTTTTTCAAAAGCAAAAACAAAGCAAACCTTTACCAAATCAAACACTTTACCTTGTTCAAAAAAGCTGTTTTCTTTATCAAAATCAGTTTTAAAAAAAATCCAAAAAAAACAGGTCCACAAAGGGTACCCCCTTGCAGGCGCTTGCATTTGCAATTAAAAATTGGAATTAGCACTTGCAATAAGAAACAACCTTCCTGGCTCTAGCAGGTTTTTTTCCCTTCTTCCTTAGTGTTTGTAATTGTGGCTGAATGGTTTTTAATTGTGATTGCATGTTTTTTCAAAAGCAAAAGCAAAGCAAACCTTTACCAAATCAAAAACTTTACCTCTGCTGTGTCCTCTCAGGCTCTGTCCTCCCCCAGCCTCCCCTAGATTCTTCAGAAGATTTTGCACCAGAATCAGCTGCTACCAACTGCTGGCTACCAGAATGGCATACTTCAGCTTACCCCCCAGGGCTATCAGAATGAGGTACTTCAGCAACTTCATCAGAACCCATGGCAAAATGCCACAGGATGAAACAATTCAGATCTAACCATTGATTGCAAAATGCTGCAGAAAACCATAGACCATAGAATCCATTGATAGCAGAATCCAATGAGAAGAACTTCAAATTTAATCAACTGATCATTCAGAAACTTCAGAATCCAATGAGAGCCTTTTCAATTTGCAGCACCCTTTAAAAAAGATAAGGCACCATGAATCAGAAACCAATCAGAATCTCAATCCAGAACCTTTGAAACATGAACCAGCCAACATGAACCAGAAATCATGCAGAAACTATCAGAAGCTTTGTCACCAGACACTTCAAATATATTTCAAAAAACAGAAACTTCCAAGACATTTCAAAAAACAGAGCCATACTTCAGAAGATGCACCCACATGCATCAGATTTTTGCCACCAGAGCTGCTTGCCAGATAGTTGGTGACTGGCTTCCAGCATCCAGCATCGATCAGAGGCCATCAAGGCCAACAAAAGAGAAAATGACTTCTCAGCAGATTAAAACAAATTCATATCATATCCTATCATGTTCAGATAATAATTATCAGATTCAAATATTAACTATTCACTCACCAGAAGTCATGCAGAACCAGATCTACTCAGAAGCCATGCAGAAACTTGCCAGAGACTCCTCAATTGTTGTTCCAGAGTTCTCAGAGCAGAGTTGCAAAATTGCAAGGCCAGATCTCACAGAGGCCATGGATCACAGCCAGGTGCTGCAGCAGAATCGATCCTGCAATCAGCCAACATGAATCAGAAACCAATGAAAATCACATGCAGGACCTTTCAAAAATTAATCGGCCAATATGAATCAGAAACCAATGGGAATCTATGCAGAACCTTTCAAACATGAATCACCCAACATGAATCAGAAACTATGCACAAACAATCAGAACCTTTCCCCCCAAACATGCAGACAACTAAAGAAAACCAAGGCTCCAGTACCAGACCAGCAGAGCAGCACCAGCAGATCACCAGATGCTCACATCATGGCCTCCCTCCTCCTCTTCATCACAGCCTTGGCTTCTGCACTCAGAGGAGGTGGCTTCAGAAACTCCAGAGGCCAAACCACCTGCAGGGAAGCAATGAAAAAAAAGCACACAAAAAAACAGAACATTGCAGCCAATGAATAGACCCAGGCCTGGGCAACCAGCTGATCAGAATCTTTGCCATTAGATTCAGCGAGCTCCAGAACATAGACAAATTGCTGCTGACACTCAGAGAAGCCTGGAATGAGGGCATTAGAGATTACAAAAACAAACCAAAACAAATGGCAAACAAAAAGAAAAGACTAGAAAAAAAAACATGCAATCAGCTGATCAAGTCACAGCTTTGACCCAGAGAGCCCAGAGTTCAAAGCCTTCAGGCAGAGTGCAATCAGCTGGAGACATAGTGATCTCAGAAGCGCAGAAGCAAGGAATCCTCAGAAGCATGAAGCTCCAAACCAGAACAGTAAACAGAATAAACAAATACATATATATATATATATGCTAAAAATATTATATATAGCTATATATATATATTACATGCTAAATATATTAATTACTATAAATATACTAAATAATTGTGTATATATATATATAACCACTATATATATATACTATATACTATATACTAAATATAATGCTTAAAAGCCAGCCAAGAAACTCATTCCAGACCAGCACCAGATTTCTGCACACAGCAGCCACATTCAGAGAACTCATGCCAGCATCGATGGACTGGTACAGCAGCTCACAGGCACAGGACAGCCAGGCCAGTAGGCAGATCCATTTCCAGAGGCAAGGAGGTCCACCACTGCACAGATACTGCTCCATCCTAAGCAGGTTCAAGAATTAAAAAAACAGAACCAGCAAAGAAGAAAAAAACAAAAGTAAACCACAAACACATACAAACATGGAAAAAAATCAAACAGAAAACAAGTAACTCCCAGCGCACTCTGCCTTTCAGAACAGCATATGTGCACTGGCCAGAGCTGTGCACATAGCCCCTGCCATCTTTGGCAGCCCTGTAGGCAGAGATTTCCTGCTGCAGATTGTACAGAGACCTGGTGGCCACCCTGTTCCTCTTGTCAGGATCATTCAGATGATCCAGAGGGCCGGGGCCAGCACCAGCACCAGTCTCAGCAGACACATCCATGGGCAGAGACATCGACATGATCAGAAGACCAGAAAGCGAGTGAGACAGAGACAAAGGAATGCCAGAGATCTAGGCCAGAATGCTGCAAATTCACAACAGAATCACATGAAGATGATCAGAAAAACTTGCAGAAAAACCATCTAGATTCCAATGAGGCACTTGCAGAAGACCATGCAGAATCCAATGGACAGCTTCAGAAAAATCAGCAGAATCCAGTGAACATCATCAGAATATATATATATATATAGTATATATAGTATATATAGTGTATATATATAGTATATATATAGTATATATAATATATATATATATATTATAGTATATATACATGCAGATGCTGCACAGAATGCATCAGAATCCAATGAAACCCTTATCAGAAACCATCAGAACCTAATGCAATCAGAAGGCAATCAGACTCTCACAGACTTCCATTAGACTCTCAACTCTCAGATAAAACAGAATGCAACTACGCTGGGAAAAGCAGACTTTTCAGCTGCCAGAAAATCAGAACTAGCCAGCAGTAATGCTGGGTTCGATCAGAATGTCCAGCTTTACACCATGAGCCCTCAGATAATCACCATGCCACTTCAGCTCCTGCAGAATGCCACTCAGCAGAGTGATCACCACACACAGCAGTGCCAGCTGCAGAAACTCTCCCAGAGTCACCAAGCCATAGCCCACCAGCACATGTCCACCAAATGCCAGAAGCAGCAGCCAGATGTAGACAGAGATCTGGCAGCCCAGAGTGACCAGATCCAGGATGCAACCAAGGGCTGTGTCCCACAGATCAGGCAGCAATGGCATGGCCAGACTATCACAGAGCAGATCAAACTATCACAGAGCAGATCAGACTATCACAGCTACAGAAGCATCAGACCATTCATCAGAATCCATCCCAGGTACAGAAAATCCAATGAGAATCCCATCAGAGCCTATCAGAAAACAGAGGTTCTCAATCAGAATCCAATGAAGATCCAACCAAAGCCTATCAGAAAACAGAGGTTCTCAATCAGAATCCAATGAAGATCCCACCAAAGCCTATCAGAAAACAGAAGTTCTCAATCAGAATCCAGTGAAGATCCCACCAAAGCCTATCAGAAAACAGAGGTTCTCAATCAGAATCCAATGAAGATCCCATCAGAGCCCATCAGAAAAGAGAGGATTTGTCAAAACCTTACAGAAGCCTTTGGGGAAGAGTTGGGATTTTCGATTTACTATTGCAAAGCAGACCCCCCCCCTTTAAAAAAAAAAAAATTAGGGGGGGGGACCCCCCTTTACTATTGTCGATGTAACATTACTCGAGTTTTTTTAATGAGTAAATCAGTCATTTTCTGTTGGATCTACCAGTTTTGTATTGAATTCCATGTTAGAAGCAAGGCTAAACACAATGTCCGACCCTCCAAGATCCCGAGATCGCTGCTGCGGCGCTTGTCGGCCCTGAAGTTTTTGTGAACAGCAACCGAGGCGATGGAAGGCGGTGGATAAATTGATGCCATTCATCACCGAGAGGTTTCGTTCCTGGGCACTGGGCATTGCGACAGTTGCGACACGTGAGTGACGTCAGTTCCAAATCTTCCGAACAGGAACATAACAAAGCATCAAACAGACATATGTATATATATATAATATGGAAGCTGATACGCTGATACTTATAAAAAAAATGATCATGCTTGATTTTTCTGATATTGACACTCCTGGGTTTACCCTGCCACATCGATATGTCAAGCCTGCCGGGATGCTTCAGACGGAATGTTGACACCAATCTTATCTCATATGAATACGTGTATAAAATACCCAGATGCTCCATGTATCGAATATGTACTTACATTTACCCCAAAAATGGCCCAAATGTAGGTAAATATTCCATACATGGGGCATCTGGGATAGATTTAAATCCTATGCCATTTAATCAAAACATCACTCAATTTGTCTGAAAAGAATTGAGAAGATGGTTACTCCAAGATTTCATGGTTGATTTCCGCATGAACAAATGGCCATCAATTGGGGCATCACTATTTTTGAACAACACCATCAATGTTTGGAAGTGAGCCGGCAAAGTGTCGACCACGAACAAAATCCTTGCCGGCGTAGAACCTGCGCGCACATGAAAAACACATTCTGCAAGGATTGTTGCTTCCAATCTCCTGAAAACTGATGAAAGATGCACCTTTCATCGTTGTTTGTTTCCAGGATTTTTCGGCAGGCTCTTTCCATAGCATGTTCATCGATAGACTCACCCCAAAAAAGAAAACAGAGGAATGCAGTACGGTAGCTGATGTTTTCTAAAACTGATGATTTGATATGATTTGACCTTTCAGACAATTTGATCATTCCAAATCTGGTAGAAGATTCTACGTAGACTACGAGACCAAAGGCTCCACCATGAGCCTACCCACTAAAAGGAAGCCAGATGAAACCAGATAACCTGCAGGATGGGGCCCCCGTTCGATAGCGTTCAGTTGAGATATAGGTGGCTGAATTCTATGGTTTATAGTAGTAGATATAACTAATAACCATATAGTTTTCGTGGGGTTTATAAACCAACTTATAACTGGGGGGCCCCATCCTGTACATGTTTCGAACTGTATAAGTTTCGATTTCGCCTCCGAATGAAAATACGACTCCATAGTTCAATGTTTGATCAGAAAAATTTGAAGAATGTCCAGTCCCCCAAAATCATCAATTTCCTCTGACTTCAAGATGCAAAGTGATTATTTCAAAACATTTATATATTGTAAAAAAATGTGTAAAAGTCAAGGTTGCAAGAAATGTCAAGTTTCGCATGAGTGGCATTTGTTGTTTTTCTCCCCTCAGGTGAGGGGTTCCCGAGGCCGGACACAAAGTCCGAGATAAAATGCCAAACAGGCTGTCAAAACATATGGTGGTTTCCATTGTCATGGGGGTACCCCAATAGCTGGATGGTTTATAATGGAAAATCCAATTAAAATGGATGATTTGGAGGTACCCCTATTTTAGGAAACCACCATATGGCAGATAGAATGTCAGAATGCATCTCAGATATAAAATCAGACAAAATATCAGATGGAAAATCAGAGTATATAATATAAATATCATATAATATAATATACCAAAATATGATATAATTTGACATAATTTAATATAATATAACAAAATAAAATATTTTATAATTTATAATATAAATATGATAAAATAGGATAAAATATAATATAATATAATATAATACAATATAATATAATATATCATAATAAAATAAATTGCAATAGAATACAAAATAATAAAATATAGTAAAGAATAATATAATATAATATAAAATATTGTAATAGAATACAAAATAAAATTATATAGTATAGAATAATAAAACATAATATAATAAAATATATTAAAATATAGTATAATATAATACAATATAATACAATATAATATATTATAATAAAAAATAATTTAATATAATATAATAAAACATAATATGATATAATAAAATAAAACATAATACAATATAAAATAATATAATATGAAATAATATGGTATGATATAATACAATATAATATAATATAATATAATAAAACATAAAATAATATAATATAATACAATATAATACAATATAAAGTAATATAATATTATATAATATAATATATTATTTCTAATAAACTATGATAAAATAAAATATAATAAAACATAAGAATATAATATAATATAATATGAAATACTATGATATAATATAATATAATATAATATCATATAATATAATATAATACAATATAATATAATATAATATAATACAATTTAATATAACATATTATAATATAATATAATACAATTTAATATAACATATTATAATATAATATAATACAATATAATATAATATAATATAATATAATATAATATAATACAATTTAATATAACATATTATAATATAATATAATATAACATATTATAATATAATATAATACAATATAATATAGTATAATTTAATAGAACATATTATAATATAATATAATACAATATAATATAATATAATATAACATATTATAATATAATATAATATAATACAATATAATATAATATAATATAATATAATAATATATATATGTCAGCACATAGAATGCCAGAAAACATGTCAAAATGTATGTCATCGCTCGAAACATTTTTTTTGTGTGTCCTTCTTCTTTGTTGTTTTGTTTCGTTATTTTTTGCGTTCTTGTTTTAGTTCGTGATGTTGTGTTTGTCTATTTTGTCGTTTTCATTGGTATCTCTTGTTTTGTTGTATTTGAGAAACGGACAGACAAACAGGAACATGTAGTTTCACGAGAGTTGACCTGTCAATTTCCCAAACTTGCTCCTCGGGCGCTATCCATTCTACTATCCATCAACATCCATCAACCAAAAACCCACAAAAAACACCAGCCGCCAGCACCTGCTGAGAGCTGCCTGTTGATCTTCTTGTGTAGCTCCAAGTTTTCTTTCTCGCCCGCTGTAGCCGCTGAAGCCGGGCTTTGAGCCTCTGTCACCTCCTCCAGCTGACAGTTCGGCGGAAACATCATGCTTTTGAGGAACCGAAACATGACAGAGCAGCAAAGTGTGATATAGTATTTTTATGTATTGATACATGGCCAATTAATGTTGATTTTTGCCAGTAGTACCGCACAAGGCGGTGGCGGAAGTTTCAAAGATAGGAAACCTATAGGAGAGGTTGGTTGTGAGTCATGGAAGGCAGAGCGAACCCACTGACGTATCGAAAGGTGGTTGGGGTGTCAGGCTATCTATCTATCTATCTATCTGTCTGTCTGTCTACCTGTCTATCTGTCTAGTTGTCTGTCTGTCTGTCTGTCTGCCTGCCTGCCTGCCTGCCTGCCTGCCTGCCTGTCTGTCTGTCTGTCTGTCTGTCTGTCTCTCTCTCTCTCTCTCTGTCTCTCTGTCTCTCTGTCTCTGCGTCTCTCTGTCTCTCTGCCTCTGTCTCTCTGCCACTCTGCCACTCTGCCACTCTGTCTCTCTGCCACTCTGTCTCTCTGTCTCTCTGTCTCTATGTTTCATTGTCTCTCTGTCTCTCTGTCTGTCTGTCTGCCTGCCTGGCTGGCTGGCTGGCTGGCTGGCTGTCTGTCTGTCTGTCTGTCTGTCTGTCTCTCTGTCTCTCTGTCTCTGCGTCTCTCTGTCTCTCTGCCTCTGTCTCTCTGACACTCTGCCACTCTGTCTCTCTGCCACTCTGTCTCGCTGTCTCTCTGTCTCTATGTTTCATTGTCGGTCTGTCTGTCTGTCTGTCTGTCTGCCTGTCTGCCTGCCTGCCTGCCTGCCTGTCTGTCTGCCTGTCTGTCTGTCTGTCTCTCTGTCTCTCTGTCTCTCTGTCTGTCTGTCTGTCTGCCTGCCTGCCTCCCTGCCTGCCTGCCTGGCTGGCTGGCTGGCTGTCTGTCTCTGTCTGTCTGTCTGTCTGTCTGTCTGTCTGTCTGTCTGTCTGTCTGTCTCTCTCTCTCTCTGTCTGTCTGTCTGTCTGTCTGTCTGTCTGTCTGTCTGTCTGTCTGTCTGTCTGTCTGTCTGTCTGTCTGTCTGTCTGTCTGTCTGTCTCTCTGTCTGTCTGTCTGTCTGTCTGTCTGTCTGTCTCTGTCCATCCATCCATCCATCCTTCCATCCATCCATCCATCCATCTATCGAACATCTATCATCTACCTACCTACCTACCCACCCACCCACTCACCTACCTACCTACCTACCTAGCTTTCTGCCTATCTATCTATCTATCTATTTATCTATCTATCTATCCACCTATCTATCTAATCTAGCAAATCTATCTAATCTACCTAATCTAATCTAGCAAATCTATCTAATCTAGCTAATCTATCTAATATATCTAATACGTCCATCTATCTACCTATCTCTTTATTTATCGGTCTAGCTAGCTAATCTAGCTAATCTAGCTAATCTAGCCATCTAGCTATCTAGCTGTTTATCTGTCTATCTGTCTTTCTATCTGTCTATCTATCTTTCCATCTATCTTTCCATCTATCTTTCCATCTATCCATCTATCCATCTATCCATCTAGCTATCTATCTATCTATCTATGGATCTATCTATCTACCTATCTATCTATCTGCTGATCTACCTATCAACACAACCTAATCTAATCTATCTATCTATCTACCTATCTATCTATCTATCTATCTATCTAATTTAATCTAGCAAATCTATCTAATCTAGCTAACCTATCTAATATATCTCATCTGTCCATCTATGTACCTATCTCTTTATTTACCGGTCTAGCTAGCTAATCTAGCTAATCTAACTATCTAGCTATCTAGCTGTTTATCTGTCTACCTGTCTACCTGTCTATCTACCTATCTACCTATCTGTCTATCTGTCTATCTGTCTATCTACCTATTTACCTATCTGTCTATTTGTCTATCTATCTGTCTTTCCATCTATCCATCCATCCATCCATCTATCTATTTATCTATCTTTCTTTCTTTCTTTCTATCTATCTATCTTTCTATCTTTCCATCTATCCATCTATCCATCTAGCTATCTATCTATCTATCGATCTATCTATCTACCTATCTATCTATCTGCTGATCTACCTATCAACCCAACCTAATCTAATCTATCTATCTATCTACCTATCTATCGTTCTATCTATCTATCTTTCTATCTATCTTTCTATCTTTCTATCTATCTATCTACCTATGTATCTATCTATCTATGTATCTATCTATCTTTCTATCTATCTATCTTTCTTTCTTTCTATCTTTCTATCTATCTGCTGGTCTATCTATCTACCTAGCTACCTATCAACTTAACCTTACCTAATCTATCTATCTATCTACCTATCTAATCTAATCTAGCTAACCTATCTAATCTAGATAATCTATCTAATCTATCTAATCAATCTATCTATCTACCTACCTCTCTACTTTTCTATCTAGCTAGCTAATCTAGCTAATCTAGCTATCTGGCTATCTAGCTATCTAGCTGTTTATCTGTCTATCTGTCTTTCTGTCTATCTACCTATCTACCTATCTACCTATTTATCTGTCTATCTTCCTATCTACCTATCTGTCTATCTGTCTATCTGTCTATCTGTCTATGTATCTGTCTATGTATCTGTCTATCTATCTTTCCATCTTTCCATCTATCTATCTATCTACCTATCCATCTATCTATCTATCTGTCTATCTATTTATCTTTCTATCTTTCTATCTATCTATCTATCTATCTGCTGATCTATCTAACTATCTAACTACCTAACTACTTAACTACCTATCTACCTATCTACCTATCTACCTATCTACCTATCTACCTAACCTAACTAAACCGAACCTAAACTAACCTAACCAACCTGGCTATCTATCTATCTATCTGTCTGTCTGTCTGTGTGTCTATTCTGTCTATTCTGTCTATTCTATCTATTCTATCTATTCTATCTATTCTATTTGATCTATTCGATCTATTCGATCTAATCTATCTATCCTATCTATCCTATCTATCCTATCTATCTATCTATCTACCTATCTATTTATTTATCTATCTATCTATCTATCTGTCTCTAGCTGTCCCGCTATCTAGCTTGAAAAGAGGCAAGCTCAATGATAAAGTTGACAACATCATATAGGAAGCAATTCTGCGGGGCTTCCTCCAAATGGAAAGTTGAGTGCAGAGCTGACGGCCTGGTACCAATGCGTTTTGCGATTTTTCCATTCCATCTGTCTAAACTACTGCGCCTGCCACGACAACGTGAAGCCAGGTCATCCGAAGTGCTGCACCTGTCACCAAAAATCATCTTAGCAAACCTGAAGATCTGATGCTCCAACATGCAACACTTCTCAGGAAATCAGCGCCCTGACTTCCTAACATCTCTGATGAACATGTCTCTTGTACTGCGCTGCAAAAACCCACACTTTTGGCTCACTTTTGGCGACACGCAAAATCCATTGCGCCTGCCATGCGAGACCCTCAAAATGTGCTCAGAGACCGCTCGTTTTTTTACACGTTTGACTTCGAAATGTGCTTCGTGCCACAGCAGCGTGCACTTTTTAAACATCTCAACTTCCAAAAGTGCTCCGCACATGTGGTGTCTTTAGCGTTTTCAATTCGAAATGTGCTTCGCACCACAACGGCATGTACTTTTTCAGCATCTCAACTTCCAAAAGTGCTCCGACGCTGAGGTGCTTTGAACCTTTTGACTTCGAAATGTGCTTCGCGCCAGAACGCCGTGCACTTTTTGAACATCTCAACTTCCAAAAGTGCTCCGAACCTGTGGTGTCTTTAAAGCATTTTGACTTCCACATCTGCTTCGCGCCACAATGGTGTGCAATTTTTCATCTCTCATCCCGCCAGATGGCTCCGCATCCGCCGCTTTAGCGAGCCTACTTTTCGACCCTCCGGAGCCACAAATCATTGGTAAAACACAGTGAATCGCGACTTTTCTGTTGCGCACCTGCATCTTCTTTCTTCTGACTCTTTCTCTTCTCTGATCTTCTTTCTTCTTCCCTTCTCTTTTTTGATTCTTCCCACCTCTGCTTTGCATCTGTCCATATTGTCGGAAGTTTGACTTCTAAACTTCCTTCGAATATACGTTTGCCTCTTTTCACTTCAACTTATTCGAGTTATTCGCACACTAGCACGTTGTGAAAAGGGAGAAGCTTACGACTTCTGGTAGCAACTACAGGAGCCAGCAACCTTCGTGACTTCACGGCCCATGACGGCCCGAGCCGAGTGGCGGCTTCAAGATCTTCTGAAGACCTGCTGCCGAAGTCGCCGTCGCCGTCCGAGCGACCCCAAGAAGCCTTGCTCCGACGGGCAGTCATGGGGGTACCCCCAAATCATCCAATGGTTTCAATTATATTTTTTCGTGATATTTGGGGATGGGTCAAAACATGTCAAAACCTTGTACCCCTGTAGTTCACATCAAAACTAGCTGGTAAATGAAATGCTCATCCCCCTCACAATGGTATTTATAGATATTGTTCCATGGCCATTCCTGAAAAGTAGGGATTGCCAGTCGTCACATGTCGTCACCATGGATGCCAGGCGCGTAATGCGCAAAGACCATCCTCTGGTTGGAGCGTGTCATGTAGATACAATGTGGGCAACCGCTATAAACCTATTTTGACTGGGGATAGTTTATACACCACCCATTAAAATTGCGATTTTAGGCATGCTTTAAGTAAAACTTGGTTTACCTTATGAGGAATCTCTAATCTCGACCATAAACTCATCAGCTCTTCACTAGTCTCGAGCGCCTCAGAAAGAGAAACCGTCGACTATCGACCTGCCACCTGCCGGGGTGCCATAGTGCTCGCCGTAGTTTCAACGACATTGTTCTTCTCAATGCTAGAGCCCTGGGCCGGTACCATTCCCAGAACCTAAAAAAAAGAGTCCACGAGTCCGCCGCCATCTCCATGTGGCTCCGTTGATGTCATTCCTATACTTGGTGTTTTTTTGCGGCCAAGACAGCCAGAAGAAAAAGTGGTAGCATGGCCTAGCAAAAGTAAACAACATGGGATACTTATATAATGAAGGGTATTCATGCATCATCAAACCATCAAACTGTATATAAACACTTATAAAGTAAATAAAATTATAATGCATTGATAGTAAAAATTAAAAACAATCAAAACTATACAATATACGAATCGATTTGTTCGCATATCTTACGCATCGACGAAGCTGCTGGTGCAGTGTAACGTGACAATACAAGGCAAGTTTCCAGACATGCAAGGTAGCATCCCCAATAGTAATGGGATATAGTATATAGGATATTAATAGGAGAATATGGATTGATATAGGCTAAATAATGGTGGGATAACTGGGCAATTATGGGACAATTTTATAGCAACAGAATCTTGAAGAGAGGTGTGCATTAAATTTATGCCAGAACAGTATATATAACATATATAAAGCATTGGATTCAATCCTAAAAATTGGATATATATTCAATGGCGATTTCAGGATCCTAAATTGGAGGTACCTGCCATATATAAGGCCTATGTAAGGCCTATGTAAGGGAATATCCCCACAATATATGGCCTTATATGGTACAGTACCTCCATTTTAGGATCCTGAAATTCCCATTGAGATATATATATATATATATGTGGGTACGAGTCAAAAATCGGGTATGGATCGCTCCGCGGTGATCCGTACTATGGATCGGGGATGCTTACGTAAGGTGCCTGCTCCGTACCCTTTCGTAAGGGCTCATCATAGCATACAAACTGTGCTGATACTCCAACTATCTCATACTTGCTATTACTATTATTACTTCTCCTCCTGCTACTGTTGCTGCTAAAACTGTTGCCACTGCTAGTAGAGGGAGCAGTATATAAAAAGAACCAGCACCAGCAGCAGTAGTGGCAATAGAAGGAGAAGATGCAGTAGCAGTAGAAATAGCAATAGCAGTAACAGTAGTACTGTAGCACTAGTAAAGTCAAAGTAATAATAGTAATCTAATGGTAGCGGCAGCAGCTGCAGTAGAACTAGGAGTAGTAGGAGGCGTAGGAGTAGGAGTAAGAGTACGAGTAGGAGTAGGAATAGCAGCAGCAGCAGCAAGCAGTAATAGAATCGGACTTTCATATTGGCATTTGTTGTGGCGTGACTGGGTTCGGGATGGAACGGGTATGGATCGGGGTATGGCTCGAGATACGCTATCTGGGCCATTTACCGTATATACCCTGTGGTTATTTGACATAGCCATGGAAAATGGCCCATAGAAATAGATGGTTTACCTATTAAAAATGGTGATTTTCCATGACCCTCTGTCATTTTGGTGAATGGGATGGTGACTATGGCATCTAACGCTGGGGAACTCCGACTGTGGCGTGGTGCCGCTACCAAAAAAACATGGGACCCTGCTACACAAAAGCCCCGTGGGGAGATGAGGCCCCGTTAATGACATCTAAAACTCGGGTTTTATATTGAGTATATATTAAGTAAATACTAAATATATATATATATTTATATATATCATATAAATAAATATCAGATAAATATATTTGATAAATATATATATATTATGAAAATATGTATTATATGAATATAGATTATATAAATATAGATTGTATAGACATAAAATATATATTATATATGAATATAAACTATATATCATATATATTATCGAAATATATATATATAACATATTATATAAACATATATAATATAAATACATATATATATCATTTAAATATATAGTATACATATTATATACATATATCATTTAAATATATAGTGTATATATATATAAGAAGTATATCCACTTATAACATCTTATGACTGGACCTTCCAACTTTGGCACTAGCTTCGTCACACTTCAGCCACGCTGCTGTCGGGCTCACCGTAGACCTGGAAAAGCCTGGACAGGAAACAGCTCGCCGACCTCGATGTATTTTTCCACCGTCATGGTCGCTTTCAACTTCGAAGACCAAAAACGTGTTCTTCACATAGATGTCATAGAGGTCCTGCAAAACACGTCATGGGGGATCTCGGGAAAATACCCTCTGGTAAACAGCCACATAGCTATTGAAAATGGCCATAGAATAAGTGGATTTACCCAATTAAAGTAGTGATTTTCCATAGCTATGCTAGTTTAACAGAGGGTAAATGGAAAAACATGAAAAAGAAAGGTCAACCATGGTCAACCTGCAAAATCATGGCACGAGATCCTTCAAACATGGCGGCTTTATGTCATTTAAGCATCTCATCTGTGCAAACCTTAATAGTCAGTAGTCCACCAACCTAAGCTAAATGCACTTCGGGATGATATCCGAGTACAAAAAACATTGGTGAATTCAAGTAGTTGCAGTGCTCAGATCTCTTGCAACAAATGATTTAGGTGGGATTTCGTCTGCTCCGATGTCCCAGGGACATACACAGACACACACACACACGGACAGAGAATCGATGATTCCGCTTTCAAACACCGGCCTGCCCTTTCTGATGATTCTACCCATAGGCATCTATAGGCGCAATGGATCACATTCTGGGATGTTTCATATTGTTTAACCCCTATTTCGCCTCTTTTAAAGATGGAAAAACATATGGAGATATGCAAACCCCACATGATTGACCCCTCGGGAACCTGCTTCAAACAGTTCGCCCCGACGTTCATGAAGCCAAAGGAAGCGACCGCTGTACCACTCGGAGTAACGCAAAAAAAAAGTTGAAAAACAACTGTCAGGGTGTGACCATGCCGCACACCGCTTGAGCCAACTGCGGGCTGATGTCTTTGGCAAAAATATTCAGTATAGTTATCTATATAGTTATATCTATCATAAACCATAGAATTCAGCCACAGCCATATCTCAACTGAACGCTATCGAACGGCGGCCCCATCCTGCGGTTCATGAAATTATACTTATATAATACTTATATTTTATGGATGTCATGGGCTGATCATAGTTATCATTCCATAAGTGAAACTTTACTTCACTAACTTCTGATTTTTTTTGACCATCAAGAGGACCTGAAAGGCGGACTCAGGTCTCCAGGTCAATGGCTTCATTTCCTTCGCTTTCTGGCCTGCGACACGGCCCAAAATTTAGGGGGTCAAATGAGTCAAATTCACCATGTTTTTTCCAAATCCAAACAAACGAATTAACTCATCACCACCGAATTAGAGTTTTTCATCAAGAAAATTTCAGATTCAATCAATGAAACAGGTGGTTTTAAAAAGATATGCCAGTTGACTATCGTGGTCAAAACTGCTTTCACCCTGACTAAAGAACAGCATGGGAAAAAATATGTTTCCTGTCTCAATTTGATAGCTGCAGTCGATACATATGTATATATATATATATGTATATGCACAGTATAAATATATTGTTGTGTTAGTATATCAAATAATCTCTTGTTGGAGTTCCAATTTGGATCTTCCGCAACATACCCAGCCCTGGGCCTAAGGTTTTGCGAAAAACTGCTTGACCTGGGAGGTGACCCATCGAGGAAAAAACAACCTGGCACGAATACATCAAACTCCATGTGTTTGTCTTGTTAATGCATACATTTGTATACATATATCTGTATATACCAAACAGCACATTTCATACAGGGTTTGGTAAATGTCACATTTTGGGGATTTGGAACATCATTTTCAACTATCTGTTGGAGATTATATCCCCAGTATTTGGGTGATGTACCATTAGGACATTTACCAACCCCTGCCATAAAATACATGTGTCCAATCAAATCCTGTTTGTCTTGGACATGGCCAATTTCTGCAAATTTGTTCTTCTTTGTTACCTACTGTTCCATGGTAGAGGGGTATTCCGGAAATAGATGTTCGCATCCACAACCAATATCAACAAACCCCGGCCTGCACAGCAGCTCGTCCTGCAACAATCATGGTAATCATGGTAATTTACCCTTCCAGTAATCAACAACTATGATGGTGTTTACCCTTAAAATAACCACGATTTTACAGCGAAAAACCCCTGGGTTTTTCTCAACCACATCACCGAACCAATGCCGAAAAATTGATGGACGTCCCGGCCAGATTGAGGTACGACACCGTTGACGATTTTTTATCCCGAAAGTGTCTGAAAGTACATGATGGTGTCTGCGTATATTTATTTATTAATTTATGTATAATTCGTAAGTATATTTATACAATAGTTTATACATAATTGTATGAACTCGTACTTGTGTACATATGTATGAATTGATATTCATAAGATTGGTGCCGCCTTATCACAAAAACTGTTGTATGGACCAAGACCAACAAAAACACAGTAGCCTTAGCCAAGGTGAAAACATGTGGAATTCCTAGAGGAGATTTTGTTGGCCTCTGTGCTGTAAAAATTAATTGTGAAATATTGTGAAAATATATTTGGACTCTGATGAAGAAATATGTTGAAAAAACTATACATAAACTGCAAAAAACATACATAAAGTGCAACAATCACAGATAAAACATGGAAATCCAATTGCAACTGTCCCACCAATGAAACATGTTGCATGTTTGACTGATTTGATATGCAGAAAACTCATATCGTGAGGCCTTCTACATCAATTATGCTGATATATGGGGGCAACTGTTGGATGATAACTATAGGTTGTTATAGATTTTTTGTTCATTAACCAGTCTTAATGATTAACCCGTAAACGTACATGGTATAATTATACATCAATATATATATATATAAAACCCTAGTTTCTGGAGTCATAAAGCAACTTACTCAACTATGGGACACCACCTGGTAGTAGCTATTCAACAATGATATGCATGTCTTGAAGCTCTTGCACAAGCTCCGCGCTTCACAATTTTCGGTCGAATTGCAAACATCAAATGGAAGCACCAATCATAGACCAAATCTGACAAAACATATCCAAATCTCTCAAAAGAAATTTCGCTGTAGCATACTTCCATACTTCCACATGACGGGCAAATGTCAATGGAGAATTTTCACATCATGTCCATACTACAGGGAGCAACACTAGTTTTTTCCAGCTGATGCAACGAGTGGAAACACTGAAAACACGGTGGACGGGTTGGTCCCACAATGTCCCACATTTCCACCTCGTCATCTTCTTGGTGCTCCAACCTGAATGTGGCGGATGATAAAGACCATCATCATCAACATCATCATCGTTAATGATGATAATAATATATGATATTATATATTAATTTATACTTATATATAATAGTGTATATATATAAATACACAATAATATATAACAATATATAATGATGTAAACAAATATAATCGTATATGTTTAAAAAACAACATGACAATAAAACGAAAACTTCTATAGTACTAATAACAATACATAATAATAACAATCATCATCATCGTCATCGTCATCGTCATCGTCATCGTCGTCGTCGTCGTCGTCGTCGTCGTCACTGTCATGAGAATATTTGTTCATAGGTGCTATCATTGCTAACCCTGTTTTCAGTGTTATCAGTGCTCTTAGTGATATCAATGCTGTCAATGTTCTCTTTATCATCATTATCAGTGCTATCATTGTTGTCGTTGCTATCCGTGTTATCATTGTGGTCATTGCTATCAGTATTATCTGTGCGGTCATTGTTATCAGTGCTATCGGTGTTATCACTGCTTTCAGTGCTATCAGTGATATCATTGCTATCAGTGCCATTAGTGATATGAGTGTTGTCAGCGGTATCAATGTTATCAGTGTTTTCAATGCTATCAGTGCTTTAGTGTTACAAGTGTTATCAATACATATCAATACCATTATTACTCTCAATGTTATCAGTGTTGTCAGTAATATTATTGTTATCAGTGCTATCAGAGCTGTCGATGTTATCATTGGCATAGTTACATAGTTCTATCAGTCTTGTCAGTGTTAGTTTTCAGTGTTCTCAGTGCTATTCATGTTATCGCTGTCATTATCATTATGATTCTTGTCATCATGTCATCGTTATTGAAGGGTTGCAGGACTGCCAGTTCTGGAAGATGAGGTGGCAAGTGTTCCAATCATCATGCCGATTCTGCATGAATAATTAGTGGATTGCCCACCAAAAGATCTACCCTCTTGTAATCAAAAGTAGCTGGCTGGAGGGAAAATCCCCTGTATATAGAGAGGGGAACATATGGGAACATCATTTATAAATGGGAGATGTTCAATTGTCACGTTTGATTACTGGAGGGCAAAAAGGAAAACATCTCAAAACACTTTCTATTTAAAGTGCCAAGAGTGGCTTAATCTCACAATCCGGGTGCCATGATCATCTTATCGGCTACTCCCCCGGGGCCGGCCTTAAAACTTTGGCTCCAAGGTTGATGACGTTTGTCCCAAAGACACGCTTCCGGCGTTCTTCGCCTGGGTTGGTGTTGTATCCACCATCCCCGTTCTGACTTTCCATGTTGATGGTATTCCAATCAACAATTTATATATATATATGATTTATGGCATTACGAACATGAAACAATATTGTTCTATATGTATATCATGAATCATATCTACCTGTAACATCTATCTTTATAGCCTATCTCTTTTTTGTCTATCTTTATGTCTCTGCCTCTTTGTACCGAGTTCCCAAGGTTCAGCTCTTCGTTCCAGGTTCATGAACCCAACTGTTGGTGGTTGGTGGTTGAGCCATCCATCTGGAAAATGATGGAGTTCGTCAGTTGGGATGATGAACTTCATGAACTTCCCAACTGAATGGACAAATAAGTGAAACATGTTCCAAACCACCAACCAGTACCAATTATACCATATTCATATAAGATGTGCATGTTCTTTTCCACATATGAGATAAAAATTCTATTGTGGTTAGGAAGTCCAGTGTTTATAGATGATTTCCCCATACACATGGATACTATTGCGGTATATCTATGATACTATACGCATCTATACGGTATAATTCAATATATTCACAATCAAAAATGAATTCCAGACTGATTACAAAAGAGATACATATATAATAGATACTATCCATAGTTAAATGTTATTAACTATCCATAACTGATATTCACTATCCAGGACTATCCATAATTGATATGAATTACGGCATTACTAATTACATAATAGATCCTATCCATAATTACAGATACAATCCAGATAATAGATACTATCTATCACTATATCACTTCACAAATGAATTCACTGTCGATCTTGCCCCCCACGCCCCGCCTGTCGGAGTTTTCGGGTCACCGTCCAAAACACCATCCGGGTCACCTGAGTCAAGGGGTTTGGTGATGGTGATATCCCTAATATGTATATATATATATATACACATAGTAAATGGTGAAATGTATACATATACATATATAAATATATATATGGTGGTAGCTGGGCCAATGGTGATATATGCACATAAAATTCTATATGAAGTCCCGAACCAACAAATTTATATGTGATCATCGTTTGATCAGCAACATAGATGACCCAAGCAACATTTTCCATGCACAAATGATCATCAACTGGAAAAAATGATGGTTTAACCCCTGTTAATCACGATTCATCACCATTAAACCACCATTAAACCACCATGTTGATGATCATTCCTGGAAAATCTGAAGATGACCGATGCTTTTCCCCATCAGGTCACGTGGGAGGACTTGGAGGACTTGGAGGACTTTGGCTTTCCCGCCTTTTGGTCGGCCTGGGCGACTTAGTGGATAACCATTGGAGAACTCTCCATTGGATTTAATGAATCACCACAGGATTTCTTTAATGATTAACCACATGTTATACACATTTTGTTACATGGTGTTTTTTCCATAAATGAGGTACAAACCAGTTCAATAGGAATTCCAAGATCCTAAAATGGAGGTACTGTACCATTTTTCAGGCCATATTTTGTGGGGATATTCCCTTACATAGGCCTGAAAAATAGGCCTTATATATGGTAGGTACCTCCAATTTGGGATCCTGAAATGGCCATTGACCGCCAAAAGGCGCACTTTGCACAGGCAACCCAGAAATCCAGAAATACAAAAACCGTTCAAGTAAGTTGAGGTAGTCATATATATATATACATGTAAATATATATATATATGATTATATGTATAGACATATATATATATATAGATAGATAGATAGATAGATAGATAGATAGATAGACAGACAGATAGATAGATAGATAGACAGATAGAGAGATAGATAGCTAGGTAGCTAGATAGCTAGATAGCTACATAGCTAGATAGCTAGATAGCTAGATAGCTAGATAGCTAGATAGCTAGATAGCTAGATAGCTAGATAGCTAGATAGCTAGATAGCTAGATAGCTAGATAGCTAGATAGCTAGATAGCTAGCTAGCTAGCTAGCTAGATAGATAGATAGATATTATAGTTAAATACAGTGTAATCGTATATATAAAACTAAGATGCTAATTATATACATATTATATACATACCGGTTTTGGTATGCATTTAAATGTTTCAGCAAATTCAGTAAGTGCAGCTACCTTCTGGCGACCTAAAGAAACCCACTATGTCTACGGATCTATGGACGTAATAAAACGACCCTAATTTGAGATCCCGCAAAGGCTCAAGGGGAAGACAAGTGGTCCTTTTATTGCTCCAAATTCATCAGTCTAAATGTGTTTCCTTGCATAGTTTAGTTTATATAAATTTACATCTTTCATCATCTTACATCCATTATCAAGTAAAGTAGTTGATCTAATCTGATTTAGTTCAAAGTTGAAAAATATAAATCATTAAAATGTTATTTATTACATCTATTCAGTTCAATAGTTTTTTAAAAGTTCATATCTGACTACATCTGATTTAGTAATAACTATTAAGTACTAATAATCATTAACTATTAACACCATTATATTAAACTGTCATTGTTCGTAATATATTCTCATATACTATTTACCATTACTGTTAATTATTCAGTATAAGTTATAGAAACTATAAACAGTTGTTATTCAACTATAGTATTAATATTACCCTCTGGTTATTTAACATAGCTATGGAAAATGGCCCATTTACAGATGATTTTCCCAGCTAGAAACCTCCATTTATATCCATTTATAGTGGATTTTCCATGGCTACGTTAAATAACCAGAGGGTATATATATATATATCATATACAGTAATATGAAACTATATTAAATCCATTAAACATTGGTTATTTTCAGGGTCTATTTTAAATAACCAGTAACTACCCGGTAAGTCTTCGTATCACTTCACTCCATCACCGCGCCTCGGCCACGACTCGTACGACCGCCACGACCACGGCCCTGAGCCATCTGACGCAGTGTGAACTCAGGGTTCACATGGTCATATAATAGTTAATATGACCTATGTAATAATATTATTGAATAATAGTTCACATTAATAACATAGTTAATATTAATATTCACATGGTCAATAATATTCAATAATAGTTAATAATCCATGTATGCTAATAGTAGTTAATAATAGTTAATAATAGTCAATATTCAATAATAGTTAATAATCCCAGATGCTCCATGGTGCTGGAATATGTACCTACATTTTTTGGGCCATTTTGGGGTAAATGTAAGTAAATATTCCATACATGGAGCATCTGGGAATAGTTAGTAATTATTAATAATATGTAATAATAATAGTTAATGATAGTTCACAATAATTAAATGGTAACTAAGAATACTAATTAGCCAGCTATTAATAGTAGTTAATCATAGTTAGTAGTTTGCTCATTGAAAAGTTGATATATGTGGCATACCAACTATTATTAACCATAATGTAATAGTTCATGAATCGTTTTGATATAACTCAAAGATGACTTTATAGTGAAAAATGATTGTTAATAATAGTTAATAGTTGGTATATCACCAACAATCATAGATCAAGAATGGATATAAATGAAATCATGTGGGGCCAACAGCTACCACGACCGGGGAAATCGCACCCATGAAAATGGTGATGACTTGGGTTTCCCACAGCCAATGCGCGTTCCATACAAAAGACACGCACAAACACGTGGAGAACGAGTCGTATATGTATAGCCTATAGGACAATGCATGAAAGACATTTTCAGGCCATCCCTGCCCTCCTATCAAAAATGAGGATTGCATTGTGCATTGCATGTGTAGCTGGCCTTTCTGAGGATGTGTGCCCAAATGCAATGGATTGGATTTTGAATGATTTTGACCTACCGGCGGTTGAAACTCTCATATGGAAATCCAATAAATGTGAAGATTGGATTGTCATTGTGGCTTGACCATAACCAGAGCAGGTTTCTTTTTAATACAGCCATTTTTCTCAGCAATTCTCATGAGTTGTTCCAAAACATCGGATCGTCTTCATTCATCATGTTTCACCTGAGACATTGTTTCTAACCCCGTCAGATTGGGTGCCTTGGTTGTCACTTGCTTTCTGACTCGGAAATCATTCGAAAATTATGACTGTCTACATCTCTGTAAGACTGCGCAGTCAAAACCCAAAGAGTTCATATTTATAATGTGTTGTTATATAATTATATATATATATATATTATAATTATAAAGTACATATTATATTATATATATGTATATATTCATGGTGAATCTTAGATACCTGCCAAACAATCTCAGCTGGACAATAAATTTTACGATAGCAAACGATTTTAAAATGTCACCGTCTCCAAGGTTAACCCAGGTTGAAGTCTGGAGCCGCTTTGCCAAACCTGAGTTGGTGGCTATATTGAGCCATATTGATGGGAATCATTAATGCATGTTCATAGGATTTTTACAATAATTAATATACCCATTAAGAATATGTATTCCCATGATATACCGTACGTTTTGACTCTGGCATATGAAAAAAAGAGCATATCATATACATGAACCGCCAGAAAAAATACGTTGCTATTGCTGCCTCCATGGGGAACATTATGGAAAAACCTCTGGGGAAAGTAAGAATTCGAACTTACGTATATGAAAGCAGAAAAACCAGCCGCGCAAATGATGACCCAGCATTGTGCCTGCAGAGTTCCTTCCTCTTTCTTTGCCTTTCTTTTCTCCTGGACAGTTTCCCACCAGCGACTGATGGCTTCACTATGCAAAAATAGATTGGGCTGCCATGGGTCACCTGATGTTTTTTTGTGAAAGGACTAGTCACAAGATGCGTGAAAGATGGTGGACGTGATGTAATTATCCTTCTTCTCGTCTTTGTCCTTCTTCGCACTCTTTTCTTTTTTCTCCTGTTTGTTCATTTCCCCAATCGCATATGAGTCCGTCATGTGACTGGCAATCACGAGTCCAAAGGCAACAACATTGAAGCTACCACGCAACATGTGTACACTTACATAGACCTTGCATCAGCCATCCAGATTCCTTCTTTGCCTTTTCTGATTGTTCCTTCTTCTCCTTCTTTGGCTTCTTGTCGCCTCCGCGCCAAAGTCCATGCAACACTCAGTTGCAAACGTTTCTAAGTACTTTATCTTATCTATGTTTTCAATGTTTCATCACTGGAACATTCAGAGTGCACATTGAGATCTTGATGCACTTCAGCAGGAACACCCAACCACTTGGCCAATGGTTTAGGCCCAGATATTGAGAAAAAACCCTTAGACCTCCAAAAACCTCCAGCTAAACTTATCCGAGATTTCATCGCTTCTCACCATCTGAACATCTTCGATGATTTCTAAAAATGGGGGATCCCATAAGAAAACCTTGACTTCACCACCTAAAGCCAATCCCTCTAAAGCCCAATCTGGTTTTACTTGTTTTCACCACCAAAACTCTGCCTTTTTGGGATGTTTCATCCCCAAGCAATCCGAATCGCACTCAGCTGTGCTTGGCACAGTTCAAAAACAAACTGGATCACCCTAGAAATCGGGGACTCATTCACCAGGGGTATCAACCGTTACGACTACCCAAAAAAAACTCAAATGATTCCCTTTTCCGATGTCCCAAGGATTCCGTAGTGGATTTTCAGCAAAATATCATTGGGAAAATTGGGAAAGATCATGTTCCGATTTCCCAATATTCCAATTTTCCGGTTTTCCGTTTCCATTGGGAAAATCTCATCAGCAAATCCAACTGGACCAACGAACACATTTTTTCTTCGGCAGTGAAGTGCAGCGCAGCACCTACCAGGGCAGTTAAATTTGGGTGGAGTTCCAGGATGAACATGTAGATAATATATGATATAAAGTGTGCGATATTATGACATATCTGTGATATGTATGCAATATATGTACATACATATTGCATGTCAAAAAGTATCGAACATAGAAAATGTAATGTATATATATATATAATTTTTTACAATGCATA